TATGTAATTTTGTATATCCTGTTCCAAACCACATATCTGAACATCCTGTAACAGGAAAAGCTCTATAGAACTGTGCTCAGAAACACAAGCCACAGAGCCTGTCCGGATAACTCCGGACATGAGAGAAAACCACATCCTATAGAAAGCGTTTTCTGCCCTGCAACAAGTATGTAACCAATTATATGATAGCATGTACTTAATTGACTGCACATGTAACCAATCATGTAACAAGCGTGTACTTCCTCATATGTGCCAAATAAAAGAGGAACACGGGATACGCCCGACGGTTCACTCGTCCAGAGGATAGCCTGTATGTTGTCTTCTCTTGTCGGTCAAGATTCATGAGTGACCCCACCCTAATGTGGCAAACCACAAAAGCCACAATTAAGGGAACCAGTGGCTCGCTTTGGGCGGTTCTGCAGAAAACTGGAAATAAATGCTGGCTTTTGGCAAATCCGTTGTCATGTGACAGCAGGATGCTGCAAACGACCGTGAATGTTGAGTGCCCAAAGTGCACTCACATGACTCTGGAGGGCCAACCATCGTAACTTTGAATCGGAGTCCCACGTAGCCCCCAAGATAGGTCCCTTGTAACGTCAAACGGCCGCTAAGCGGTCAATCACAAATTGAGAAGGACTGTTCCAACCCCGCTTCCATTTCTCCTCACTTCTGGTTTGCTTCTCTCCTTGATCAGTTTCCATCCGTTTCTCCTTGTCCTGCCTTCAGGTGCTTTGGAAAACACCTTAACCCCCTTTTTCTTCTTGGCAGCCCCTTAAATATTGGAAGATTGGTATCCTGTCGCCCCTAGTCCTTCTTTTCATTAAACTAGACATACCCAGTATAGTCAAGGCCATGGATTTCCCAGTTGCAATGTAGGGCTGTGAAAGTTGGACCATAAGAAAGGCTGAGCGCCAAAGAATGGAGGCCTTTGAACTCTGGTGCTGGAGAAGACTCCTGCGAGTCCCCTGGACTGCAAGGTGATCCAACCGGTCAGTCTTGGAGGAGATCAACCCTGAGTGCTCCTTAGAAGGCCAGATCCTGAAGTTGAAACTCAAATACTTTGGCCACCTAATGAGAAGGAAGGACTCACTGGAGAAGAGCCTGATGCTGGGAAAGATTGAGGGCAAGAGAAGAAGGGGACGACAGAGAAGGAGGTGGCTGGATGGAGACATTGAAGCAGTAGGTGTGAGCTTAAATGGACTCCAGAAGATGGTAGAGGACAGGAAGGCCTGGAGGAACGTTGTCCATGGGGTTGCGATGGGTCGGACACGACTCCGCAACTAACAACAACAACAAGACATACCCAATTCTTCATGTTTTAGAGGGCCTGGAAAGTAAAACGTGGGTGCCCCCGTAGTGTTGGTGAGCAGAAGACACCAGCAGCCAAGATGGGAACGTCTTCAGTAGGATCCTTGTATGCCTTTTGCTGAATCTCCCAAATGACTCAGGCCCCCCCAGCTTGCTACCCCTGGTCTTTGGGTACCCCCACTCCCAAGAATTGCTTGTGGGGGCAGAGAGCATCTCCCCCCCCTTGCTACCTTGACACCGATGTTGGTGTTCAATAGCAGGGTGCTCCCCTTTGGCTCCACGGAGAGATGGGGCTCCTTCAGGAAGGGGAGGTTGATGGTCTGGGAGTCCACCTGCAGAGGGAGATGAGCATCACCATCTCTGGGTGAGGAGATGGATCTCGCCTGCCACCCTCTTGCTGAACAGCCCTGAGCCCCTGAATTGGGGCAGGGGTAGAGGAAGGCCAGTCACCAGCCCTTTGTCCATCTCACCATGACCACACCATCCTGTAGCAACTGCACTGTGGTGTCCCCGATCAGCACAGTCACCTCCTTAGTCCAAGACACGCCCGGGCGTCCACGATCCTCATTGGTCACATGGATGCTGGTGGCAGGGGGAAATAATTGCAGAGTTACTTTGGACACTTTGGTGTCCAGGAAAGGTCACCACTGGTCCTCCTGGCAAGTCAGACGGTATCCAAGCATCTCGGCTTGTTTGAAAGAGTGGCGAATTTCTGTAGCTCGGGTGTAGGGAGAGGGGGAAGGTTCGTTCTCCGAGCTTGTGGGTTGGTTTCCGAACGTTTCGTTACGAGGCTAGGTAACGTCTTCAGCGGAGTTTGGGGAATGTCGGTGTCGGTGTTCTTCTGTTTATAAGGGCTTCAGGTGTGGGTGTGTCAAGTGAGGGTCTTCTGATGGGTCAGGTGTGAGTCATCAGAGAGGGGTCTTGTGATGGGGAGGTTACATCCGGTCAGGGTTCTTGGGAGGTGAACTGCTGGTGATTGGGGGATTGCGCGGGATAGAGGGTCAATGCTGTCTCTGGCTGGCTAGGTGGTTGATTTGGATTCTGAGGGGTTCATAGGCTGGTTGTAGGTCACGAAACGTTCAGAAACTAACCCACAAGCTCGGAGAATGAACTTTCACCCTCATCCTGGCTTGTTGCATGGTACTCCACAAACTGACTTATTTTTGCAGCGTCCAATCTGAGTTAGTCACCGGGACCAAAGGTTTTTTCTTCCAAACTTTCAGTCCATCATTAGGGAACTTCTCCCTCTTATTGTAACTGAGACCACTCAAGAATATAGTTGCAACCCCTGTCATGCTGGCTTCATGGGCTGGCCTACCTAGAAGGGGTGATGTCTGGTAGAAAGAACAAACTTATTCCTACCTTGGCCTTAATTTCAGATTGGAATTGAAGAGCTGGACATGGAGAGGAGGGGGGCTCACCTGAAGTCCCCCCCATGGCAATCCTGGGACAGGACGTACATGCAGCTCCCCTGGAAGTGGATCATTTTGCCGTCGAATGTCCGGTAGTGGGGGTCACCAAAGGCCACACAGGTGGCGGGATGTGGGACGCAGCGGGGGCAGCACACGCCGGGGATCAGGGCCGGAGTCTCATCCTGTCAGCAAAGAGCAATGTCCGGAGTATGTGAGTTCCATCTCTTCCCCTCTCCCCGCTCCAGAGATAACATGATCTCCCCAGCAAGGGGGAATGGTTTTGGACCAGTACAGGTAATCCTCGGCTTACAACCCCAACTGAGCCAAAATTTCTGCTGCTGAGCGAGGCAGTTGTGAAGTGAGTTTTACCCCTACATTTTACGACCTTTCTTGTCATGGTTGTTAAGTGAATCACTGCAGTTTTGTTAGTCACACGGTTGTCAGGTGAATCTGGTTTTCCCCACTGACTTTGCTTGTGAGAAGCTTGCAAAAGGGAATCACGTGACACACACACCCCGGGACCCTGCCACCGTCATAAATTCGAATCAGTTGCCAAGCGTCCGTATTTTGATCACGTGACCACGGGGATGCTGCGACGGTTGTAAGTGTGAAAAACGGTCCTAAGTCCCTTTTTTCGGTGCTGTTGTAACGCTGAACGGTCACTAAACGAATGCTGGCAAGTTGAGGTTGTAAGTTGAGAACTACTTGTAAGCTGGCCCTCCTGGAGATTGTGGCAACCCCTCCTGGAACTGGAGGGAACCCCAGTGTGGGACACGCTTCACTTGATACCCCCCCCCCCCAGTCCTCTCTCTCCAACTCACCGCAGCACAGGCAGGCAGGGAGCAACGTTCACGACGACAATGCACCTGGTTGGAGATACAGGTGCAGGAGGTACATTCGTCCACCTGCCAACGCTGGCTGGACTGGAACACCTGGCTCAGGTGGGAGCAGTTCTGGCTGGGATCTGGGGAAAGGGATGGAGAAGGGAGGGGGGAGAAGATGATCTACTCTTGCAAACTGCCCCTCCTTCCTGCCCCCAAAGTCGCTGCAGCTGGATTCCCACCACCAGCTCACCCGGGGGGAGAGGTTCCACTTGGTGAAGATGTACTAGCTGAGCTTACAAAAAAATCGGCATTTTTCAAATTGTTTTGGCAAAAGAAAGCGCAGGGTCTTAGATATTGGAACACAACTATCATGGAACGTTAACATGTATTGGCTAACAGGGATGCACAAAACAACAATCTCCTTTTCTTGCTGTGTGTCTTTTATTTTCTTTACCTCGGCATTCGGCGCAGCACTGGCCCAGCACCCGCGCCTCCACCAGGCCATCCGGGCACACCAAGGGCAGACACTCCTGGATGTGGCACTCGACGTGTCCCAGCTGCACACCAAATAAGGGAGCCGATGTTAGATCGCAAAGTTGTGTGTCTCGGAGACGCCGATCTCAAAACTGTGCTCTCTCTCCCATTTTCTGCTGTAACTGCTGTGTGTTGGATCCTCCTGTATTAGCACCTGTATGTATATTGCTCCTGGCGTATGGTATTGTAGGTAGTGTAAGATAAACCACCATTTAATGTAGACCACTGTTTACTGTGTTTACTCCTGGGTTATCTCAGCGCAATAAGACTGCACGCTCTGACATGCCATGATCATGTGATTCCAATCTACAGCATTTTTCGCCAGAAACCCAGTTTACAGTTCAAAAAACATGCTTTGTAGACAATGGGTTCATTTAACGACTGTGCTGTTTACTTAACGATTTCGGCATTTGCTTTACAACCATTGCCCGTTCATTTAACGATCCGCTGCAAAAATGGTTGTAAAATCCGGCCTGATCATCCATTTGATGAGCAGCGGGACTCAGGATGGGAATTCTGGACTCAATCCATGTCGTAAGTCAACAGACCATGCAGGGTTTGGGTAGAAAGGGGGGGCAGGTTCTTACGTGGCACGAACAGGACACGCAGCTGTCCACGCTGTCCTTCCATGTCTCCCCGTCAGGTATGTGCCGGCCGTCAGGCTCAATCACGCATTCTGCAAAAAGAATCGTAGAAGAACAGAGTTGGAAGGGACCTTGGAGGTCTTCTAGTCTGACCCCCTTTTCAAGCAGGAGACCCTATATCATTCTGGACAAATGGCTGCCTTCCCTCCCCGTTTCTTTCTTTCTTTTTCTTTCTTTCCTTTTGCTCTTTTCTCTTTTTTTCCCTCCCTCCTTTCCTATCTTTCTTTTTCTTTTTCTTTCACTTTCTTTTCCTCCCTCCCTTTCTTTCGCTTTGTTTTCTTTCTCTTTATTTCTTTCCCTCCTTTCTTTCTTTCGTTCTTTCTTTTTCTTTCTTTTCTTTGCTCTTTTCTTTTTCTTTCCCTCCCTCCCTTCTTTCCTCCCTTTCTTTCTTTCATTCACTCTTTTCTTTCTCTCTTTCCCTCCCTCTCTCTTTCTTTCTTTCTTTCTTTTCTCTTTTCTTTCCCTCCCTCCCTTTCTTTTTCTTTTTCTTTCTTTTCTTTCGCTCTTTTCTTTTTCTTTCCCTCCCTCCCTTCTTCCCTCCCTTTCTTTCATTCACTTTCTTTTCTTTCTCTCTTTCCCTCCCTTTCTTTCTTTTTTTCTTTTTCTCTTTCTTTCTTTCTCTTTTCTCTTTCTTTCCCTCCCTCCCTTTCTTTTTCTTTTTTCTCCATCCCTCCTTCCTTTCTTTCTCCCTTTCTTTTTCTTTCTTTTTTCTCCGTCTTCTTCCTTCCTTCCTTCCTTCCTTCCTTCCTTCCTTCCTTCCTTCCTTCCTTCCTTCCTTCCTTCCTTCCTTCCTTCTTTTCATTCTTTCCTTCTCCCACCTTTATCATGCTTATAACTAACTGACAGCCGTGAACATATCCAACCTGCCTTCCCCTTCCTATTTTCCCTACAACAGCCCTGTGGGGTCTGCTGCACAGAAAGAGAGGGGTTGGGCCAAAGTCACCCAGCTGGCTTTCCTGCCTAAGGTGGGACTAGAACTCGTGATCTCCCGCTTCCTAGCCTGGTACCTTAACCACTAGGCAATACTTCCAGAGGGCAGGGAGGGGGCATAAAGGGCAAAGACGGGTCACCGTCACAGACTGGGCAGCAGGACCCCGGGGGGGTGAAGCGTTCGGCGGTGGGGCAGCTGAGCGACGGGCATCCTCGGAGCACACAGACCCAGGTCAGATCCTGCAGGGAAACAGGTGTGGGAAGCGAAAAAGTGGGCTGTAGTCCTTCTCTGCGAGGCTGAGGCCCAGGTGAGCTAGATCAGGCCTCGTGCACAAAGCGTTGAGGTAAAGTCTGTGCTACGCTCCGTTTTACAATCCGAAGGAGCGACCTGGAATCCCAGTTGCTCCGGTGTCAGTCCAGGCTGGAGCCTCACCTGGCAGGTACAGGTGTGGCAGGGGTCCTCCGTGGCTTGCACCTGGTTGCCCAGCAGGTCGGAGGTGCAGTTGCTGAGGGCTTCTTTGAAAGGAGAGGCAGCGGGAAAGGGAAACGGAGGAGGGGGAGAGGAAAGGGAAGGGAAGGGGAAGGGAGGAAAAAGGGAGGGAGGGAGAGAAAGAAAGCGAAAAAGAAAGAAAGCGAAAGAGAGATGAAGGAAGGAAGAAAGAGAGAAAGAAAGAAAGAAAAAGAAAAAAGAAAAGGAAGGAAGGAAGGAAGGAAGGAAATAAAGGGGAGGAGAGGAGAAGGGAGGAGGGGGAGGGGAAGGGAAAAGAAGGGAAGGAAAGTAAAAGGAAAAAGGAGAAGAGAGGAAGGGGAAAAGTGAAGGAAAAAGGGAGGGAGAAAGGGAGGGAAGGAAGAAGGAAAGGAAGGGATGGGGAAAGAAAAGGGAAGGAAGGATAGAAAAAAGGAAAGGAGAAGAAGGGAGAGGAGGGGAAGGAAGGAAGGAAAGAGAAAAGAAGGAGAAGGGAGAAAAGGAATGGGAAGAGGATAGGAGGAAAGGGAAAAGAAGGGATGAAGAAGGGAGGGAGAAAGAGAAGCTTTTAGGAAGCCATTCTTTTTCAAAAGGAACCCCCCCCCCATCTCCACCGTGACCCTTTAAGTCCAGGGGCTGCCCTGGTCACCCTGTAACTGCCTGGGGGGGGGGTCGGTGGGGGAGGCCTAAAAGGGATCTAGGTGGCCCTGCCAGCTTCCCTTCCCACAGACAAACCTCCCTCTGCCCGCTGCCTTTCAGAGGATGTGCCAGACTACACTACCCATCATCCATAACCAGGCCGGGCGAGGCTGCTGGGAACTGGAGTCCAAGACCCCTAGGCGGGGCCTGTTCAGAAAGGGCTGCTCTCCAGATTTTTGTGTCTTTCCCCCCCCCTTGGATGGAGGGGTGGTCTCCCTTGAGCCCCCCAGCCCCACTCCTACTCAGGGGGGGGAAACTCACGGGCACAGGTGGGGCAGCAGTCGCCAGGTGCCGGCGCCTGAATCTGGTCCTGGGTGCAATCCAGGAGGCTGGGGCACCGTCTGCGGTGGCACTGGAGGTGCGGATGGCCGTCCGACATAAGCTGGGGAGGGGAGCAGAGGCAGCGAGTGAATTTGTGGGTGCGCGTGGGTGTGCGGGTGTGGGTGTGTGGGCGTGCGGGTGTGGGCGGGTGTGTGTGGGCGTGTTTGTGTTGGCATGGGTGTGCTTGTGTGGGCGTAGGCGTGCCATTTGTGAGTATGTGTGTGTGTAGATTGTGTGTAGGTGTAGGCGTGTCATGTGTGAGTGGGCGTGTGTGTGTGCCGATACGGGATGGACAGTTGTGGAGGATGGGAATCCCTCCCTCAATTCCTCAAGGAGGAGGGCTCCTACCTGACAGGTGCAGACTTCACAGGGGTCTCTCCTAGGCTGGAAGCTCTCCCCTGGCCCGTATTTACGGCCCCCGTAACTGCAATCTGGGAAAAGGAAGAATAATAAGAAGGAAGAAGGAACAACAGAGGAAGAGACTCAACCCAGATAACAGTTAGATACGAGAAACTTTGTCAAGGTAAGGATTTAGAAGCTAACCAGCTTGTATGATGTAATGATGGGAACAACGCAGCAGGGTCTGTGTCCCTTTAAGAGCCTTGTATAAAAGGAAGGCTCTGCTGCTGTGTTGCCTTTTTCTTCCGTTTCCTGCTGTAACTGTGGTTGGTTGGATCCTGCTGTATTAGCATGTGTGTGTATATTGTTCCTGGTGCATGATATTGTAGATCAGGGGTCTTCAAACTTGGCCTTTTGATGACTTGTGGACTTCAACGCCCAGAATTCCTCAGCCAGGCACGCGTGCCTGGCTGAGGAATTCTGGGTGTTGAAGGCCACAAGTCATCAAAGGGCCAAGTTTGAAGACCCCTGTTGTAGATAGTGTAATATGAACCACCATTTAATATAGACCACTGTTTACTGTGTTTACTCCTGGGTTATCTCAGCACAATAAGACCGTGCATGTTCTGACAAACTTGAGTCTGGGGTAGAATTGTAATCCGAGGAAACTTCTTAAGCCAATCACTGCGGTTATTAAGTGAATACGCAGTCATTAAGCAATCTGGTTTCCCCTCTTGATTTTATTTATCACCAGCTAGCTGGGAAGGTCACAAAAGGGGGATCCCAGGACACTGAATAACACGATAACAGAACATCGGAGTGGGAAGGGACCTGGGAGGTCTTCTAGTCCAACCCCATGCTCAAGCTTCAGCAGGGGGTTGGACTAGAAGACCTCCCAGGTCCCGTCCCACTCTGATGTTCTGTTATACCACTTCAGAGAGATCAGGGGTTCCACCACTAAAGCCGGAGAAAGACCCCACCCATAGTCTACCCCCTGCCCCCCAAGGATCCCGCTGGCCCCCCTCCTCACCTGCACACACCGGGCAGCACTCCCCGGGCATCTCCACCTGTGCGGGGCAGGTGTTCACGCAGATGATCCGGGTGCAAGTGACGACGCCATCCACACAGAGGCAGGCCTGGCAGGGGTCCGAAGGAGAAAACCAGCTGCTGCCATCGGGCCGGTCCTGGCCCTCCTGCATGCAACCTGAAGAATGGGGGGGGGCAGAGAGGGGTCAGGCCTGCTGGGGGGTGGAAAAGCCCCTTCTCTTCTGGGCAAGACTGGGGGGCCAGCTCTTTCTTTCTTTCTTTCTTTCTTTCTTTCTTTCTTTCTTTCTTCTTTCTTTCTTCTTTCTTTTCTTCTTTCTTTTCTTTTCTTTCTATTTCTTTGTCTCTTTTTTCTATCTTTCTTTCTCTCTCTCTTTCTTTCTCTTTCCCTTTCTCAATTTCTCTCAATTTCTTTTTTCTTTTTTTCTTTCTATTTCTTTATATCCTTTCTTTCTTTCTCTCTTTCCATTTCTTTCTCTCTTTTCTTTCTTTTTGTCTTTTCTACCTTTCTCTTTTCTTTCTTTCTCTTTCCTTCCTTTTCTTTCTTTCTTTCTTTCTTTCTTTTCTATTTCTGTTTCTCTTCTTTCTATCTTTCTTTGTCTCTCTCTTTCTTTCCCTTTCTCAATTTCTCAATTTCTTTCTTTCTTTTTTCTTTCTATTTCTTTATCTCCTTTCTTTCTCTTTCTTCATTTCTTTCTTTCTCTCTATTTTTGTCTCTTCTTTCTACCTTTTTCTTTCTTTTTCTTTTCTTTTCTTTCTTCCTTTCTTTCTCTTTTTTCTCTCTCCCTTTCTTTCTATTTCTCTCTCTATTTCACTTTACTCCTTTCTTTCTTTCTTTCTTTCTTTCTTTCTTTTCTTTCTATTTCTTTGTATGTCTTCTATCTTTCTTTATCTCTCTTTCTCTCTTTCTTTCCCTTTCTCAATTTCTCTTTCTTTCTTTTTTCTTTCTATTTCTTTATCTCCTTTCTTTCACTCTTTCTTCCTTCATTTCTTTCTTCCTCTTTTCTTTCTCTTTTTGTCTCTTCTTTCTACCTTTCTCTTTTCTTTCTTTCTCTCCTTCCTTCCTTCCTTTCTCTTTCTTTCTTTCCCTTTCTTTCTATTTCTCTCTATTTCACTTTACTCTTTCTTTCTTTCTTTCTTTCTTTCTTTCTTTCTTTCTTTCTTTCTTTCTTTCTTTCTTTCTTTCTTTCTTTCTTCTCTTTCCTGCCCATCTTACCACATGGTAACCAGTTGGGGGCAGCTTTCTGCTCACTACAGGAATGGTCAGGCCAGTGGTCTGTTTGTCTCAAACAATAATGAGGACTAGAAACAAAGTCTTGGGGAGATGCTAAATGGCTAGCCATGAGAAAAGAAACAGGTGAGGGCCCCTTTTAAGGCCATGCTCCAGGGACGACGTGGTGTCACCTTTGCAACGTGGGCAGCAAATTCCAGGCTCCGTCACTGGGTGGGCACACGTGGCAGGAGGGCAGGCGATGACCTCACAGTGGACATTGCCGTCCTGTAAGAGGGAGAGAAGGTCAGTGCCAACCTCTGCCCTACTCATCTTGGGGTCTGCTCCATCCCCTCTTTCACTTGACCTTGCTTGTCAGAAGGTCACAAAAGCCGATCATGTGATTCCCTGGATGCCGTGACCGTCATAAATATGAGTCAGTTCCCAAGCATCTGAATTTCGATCACGCGACCACGGGGGAATGCTGCAACGGTCGCAAGTGTGAAAAACGGTCATAAGTCCCTTTCTTCCCCTGCCGTTGCAACATTGAACGGTCACTAAATGAACTGTTGTAAGTTGAGGACTACCCGCAATCTCCATTCATTTGGAGAGGCTGAAGGGTCACTAAATGAACCGTTGTAAGGCGAGGATTACCTGTACTCAGATCTCGCTTTCCTACTTTTGCTGCAACCGTTTAACTTTGGTGAAAAAGCCGAGCTCGCACTTCAACCCAATCTGGAGTCGATGATCTCTCTTTCCTAGAGGCCTGAGTTGAGGCAGGTCTGACAGTCCTCCTGAACAGCTACCCAGCCGGAAGGCTGAGATTTCTGCCTGCGATGCAGAGGTTAACCCCGGGCAGCCCATCCTTCCCCTGCAGGGAAACTGTGCCACGGGACGGAGGTGGGCACTCACCTGGCAGAGGCACCGCAGGCATGACTCCGGCTGGAAAGCCTGCCCGTGGGCATAGTGGTCCCCTTCGAAAAGGCAGTCATGGCACAGGGGGCAGCAGGGGCCCGGAGCTGGGTGCGAGCAGAGCGTAGCTTCGCAGGGCACCGGCTGGCAAGAGGCTTCACCCCCAGGCTGGCAAAGAGAGAGAGAGAGAGAAGGATAAGGGGCCCCTTGCCATCACAAGGGCGTGGGAAGAAACCCAAGTAGAGGGGTCTGCCCCAGGTGGTCAAAAAAGTCAAAATGGCAGCCAGGATGGTTCAAAATAAATAAAATAAATAAAATCACTCTCCTCATGTTTTCGACAGCACCTAAAGGACAGCCCGGGTCCCAAGACTTGATCAAGCTAAGATTGCACCCCTCCCAGTCCAGCATACAGCCCCTCCCCTGCATGGGGGGGAGCACAGAAAGATGGACAAGAGGGTGCTACACCATCAACCCACCCAGGGTCTTCATTTAAGTCTGCTTTCCAGGGTTGACCCCCAAATGTTCCTTTAACTGATGGTCGAGGGGCTGGCAGCACCGCCCCTCCCCTCTAGACTGTCGGCTGCCCACCCCCTTTTTAGCCTCGGTCACAGTGCGAGGGGGGGGGTGTTAGTCAAAAATGATTGACCCCTTACAGATCGAGCTGTTTTTCTCAAGCAGGGACACTTTAAAGAGGGGTGGACTTCAACTCCCAGAATTCCCCAGCCAGCATGCTTTAAGATGGGTGGACTTCAACTCCCAGAATTCCATGGCTGGCTGGGGAATTGTGGGAGTTGAAGTCCACCCCTCTTAAAGTGGGCCTGTTTGAGAAATACTGGAATAGAACTGCGACGGTGACGATTATCTTGACTTTTTCGGGTCCTCTGCACAGTGGCACGGACCTGGTCACCCTCTTGACTTTTTTGACCTCCCTTGGATGAGGTGGGGTCCGCAGGACGACGGCGTGAGGGTCTTACCCCACAGAAGCACTCCTGGCAAGGGTCCAAAGCCGAGAGCCATTGGGTGCCTTCAAGATACTCCCGGCCTCCGTGCTGGCACACTAGGGGNGACTTTTTCGGGTCCTCTGCACAGTGGCACGGACCTGGTCACCCTCTTGACTTTTTTGACCTCCCTTGGATGAGGTGGGGTCCGCAGGACGACGGCGTGAGGGTCTTACCCCACAGAAGCACTCCTGGCAAGGGTCCAAAGCCGAGAGCCATTGGGTGCCTTCAAGATACTCCCGGCCTCCGTGCTGGCACACTAGGGGCGAGAGCGAAGTTGGGGTGAAGTTCCCAGATTTTGGGGTACCCAATCACTTTGCCACCCAGCCTGCTTTGTAGCCAATTGCTAACTGGCACGTCAGCACTAAAATCTATTCAATGTGCGGTTAGCATCCCTGCCACACCCAGTTGTCCTTACCTTGGCACCGCGGACAGCATTCGCCAGGCTTTCGGCTGGGTTTGGCACACAGGGCCGGTGGGCACGGCACGGGGGTGCAGATCACGTTGCCCCCCAGGCAGCTGCAGCGCCGGCAGGGATCGGAGGGCGGGGTGAAGACCACTCGGTTGGCGTACTCCTGACCCTCGTAAAGGCAGCCATCGCACAAGGGGCAGCAGGCCGTCCGGGCGAGGGGCACGGGGTGGGCACACTGATGTGGGCAAGGCTTGGGCTGGCATGTCACCGTTCCTGCCTGGGGAGGGAGAAGGTGAAGAGCTGGTCAGGGGGGAGGGCCAAGGCGGGTGGGCTGTCTCCCCCAAGTGAGGGATCCCTCTTGGGGCGGTAAGATCCGACCTCAGCCTGGAACGCTGCCTGCTTGGCACCCCGGAGTCAGAAAGAGAGGCAGGTCAGTGTCCCACCAGGGTGAATGATTGTGGGAGGGGAGGGGCAAAGGAACCCTGGGTCACTTTGGGCCACTCTCTGAGCTGGGTGGTTTTCTTACAGACATTTCATGACCTGATTAGGGAACATCATCAGTGCTAGACAGGGAGGGGGGTTTGTTGGGGAGGAGGAAGAGGAGGAGGAGAGGACTATGGGGTCCTTGGTGCTCTCTGAGTTGGGATTTTTTCTTGCAGACATTTCATGACCCAACTAGGTAACATCATCAGTGCTAGAAGGAGCGCAAAGGAGAAGGAGAAGAGGAAGGAGGAAGGAAGGAAGGAAGGAAGGAAGGAAGGAAGGGAGGGAGGGAGGGAGGAAGGAAGGAAGGAAGGAAGGGAGAGAAAGAGAAGAACTGTAGGATCCTTGGTGCTCTCTGAGCTGGATGGTTTCCTACAGACGTTTCAAGACCCAACTAGGTAACATCATTAGTGCTGGAAGGAGGGGCTTGCAGAGAGGAGGAGGAGGAGGAGGAGGAGGAGGAGGAGGAGG